CCTGGTGTCCCCATAGGGGCCCCCCCCGTTTTATATGGTGTTTATTTTTCCCCCCAGCCTTCCCTTCCGTTCCCGCGCCACACCTCATAGTTTCCGGCGGGGTTTTCCTCGCACCCGGGGGGGCTTTCCACAAAGGTTAGGGTTCCCCCCCCCCCCCCCCCCCCCCCCAACATTCGGCGGTGATCAAATCGCCGCTGCCGCGAGTTGGACGGCACCCTTCCGCAAGCTCTTTCCAGCACCAACATACTTGCCTGCTCTTCTACGCCAAACAGACTGATCGTCCAACACTCTTTTAACAACTTGCTTGCTCTTCCGCCCGAAACGAAACAGACTGATCGTCGAAGAGGGAGGGTTTCTGTACGACTCGGATGCCTACAACGACGACCTCCCCTACTGGAACACGGAACACGGCAGGGCGCACCTCGTGATCCCCTACACCCTCGACGTGAACGACATGCGGTTCGCGACGCCCCAGGGGTTCAACTCGGGGGACCAGTTCTTTGCCTACCTTCGCGACTCGCTGGACTTTCTCTTGGAGGTGATTTCCTAGTTTGTTGCTATTGTTTGTTGTTGTTGTCATTGTTTGTTGTTGTTGTTGTTGTTGTTGTTGTTGTTGTTGTTGTTGCTGTTGCTGTCCTCATGGCTGTGGTGCTGTTTGTGGGTGAAATCTTACCCACTATAATACATAGTCCGTTAGCTTGTGGGCATGAAACGAAAGCTAATAGGTTAATCGCGAAGCACTGACATGCCATGAACTTTTGGGGTGGCCAGCGCCAAACTCACCCGGCTGTTGGTGAGACACTACCTGGGTGCACCGATAAAAAACCCCTTAAATGCCTCCTTTTACGAAATCCGTCCTGATCCCGCGCATCTACCGCCCGCGGAACAGCACACTCATTCCACGTTTTTCCTATCAACAAAGCTTCCCAACACACTGCTTTTGGTCCCATCGATGGCAGAGGCCCGCGTTCAAGTGTCGCAAGTATGTGCTTGTATCATCATCGTCCACCAGGGCTCAAGTTCAGACGGCGGGGGTCCCGCAGCATCAATATTATCATCTGATGTGCCCCCCGACGTGAACCCAGGTTCCGACATGGTGGCGAAGGGGTCCTCAAACGACCCCCCCCCCCCCCCCCCGCGCTTTCTAGGGAATGGTTTTTTATCGGCTGAG